TATTATGTTACTCCACAGCCCCGCACCATGGGGGGCTGATGCTATGACGGGGGAGGCTGCAGCCCCCGCACCACCCCCCTTCCCGTGCCACTGTCCCTTCGTAAAGGGAACTGATCCCTCCATGATGGGAACCGGTCCCATCCATGAAGGGAACCAGTTCCTCTATGAAGGGAACCGGTTCCTCTATGATAGGAACCGGTCCCTCAGTGAAGGGAACTGGTCCCTCCATGAAGGGAACCGGTCCCTCCATTAATCTGACTGGATGTTTGTCTTCCAGCTTTCACCACTCTGAGCTGTTCGCCAGCATCCCTCCAACATGTCTGCCCATCGTCTACCATCCAAACTACAACATCACCTTCATGGGCCTGGAGAAGCTCCACCCATTCGACTCTGGGAAGTGGGGAAAAGTCATCCACTTCCTGAAAGGTAGGATCAGGGCCGCATACAGGGGCCACAGGTCCTGAGCAGGTCCCTTCTAGGGGGCTTCATCTGCATCTTTCCCAGAAAATGTTTTTAATTTCATCATTTAAATCTGTATATTTTCTAAATGATCAAAATCAACATGTTTCTGACTTCTGATCAGATTGGTCTTTTTGTTCCTCATCATCTTTCTTTTGAAGCTTCTATCTAAGCACTTAGAAATGTGCCACAAAATAAAGTCCAGTAGATTAAAAATAGAAACCTAGACCGTTACATTATCCTGCTGATAGTAGAGCCCAGTCTGTTAACTCATCCTATGGAAAGCCATCTTTCAACATATTTGTATCATAATCTTAAACAACACTTCAGTAGTGTGACTCTGCCTTTTCCTTCCCATCTTGTTAATGAATAAATAAAATAAAATAATAAATATGATAAATATTATCAAATATTAAAATGATAAAAATGAAAATATCAGTTTTATCATTTCTTTTATCACATTAACATGAAATTAAATAAAATCCCGCTTGTACTTTCGCAGGTCTTAGTAATTTGCTACCATCCATTAAAATTTTGGGAGGATATGGAGCACGTTGAAAGTATAAATGTGTGGTTTTTAGCAGAGCTCTGTATTTTTGATGCTACTCGCGTCGCCATCTGCTGTCATTTTGCACGTCTCTGATGTTGCTATTTTTAAATATCCATTATTGTAAAAATGTCCATAGCTGGATATTGGTTATTCTCCAGGTGCACAGTTATAGATTGTTAAAGCACTTTACAGTGTTTTATTGTTTATATTTTAACTCTTTCCTATTATCTTATTCTTAGATATTTTTCTAAGGTCTACATTTGTGTGACCATTTTCAATAATCTTTCTGCTGCTGTAAATTTGCCCATTGTGGGACAATAAAGAGATTCTCTGTTCTATTCTATAAAATGGGTAGAAAGATGTAAGTGAAAAAAAATTGCCAATAGAAGCAAGACTGATTTTCTGATAAACAGTCTGTTTTATAAAACAGCTCTAAATTAATAGTTGAAAGGTGAAAAAATTATTAGATTTTATACAGGCTTTCATTTTCATTTATTGAATTTCAATTTAAAAAATACTTGACTTGAAAGGATTCAGATATAATTTGCAATTTTTTGTGAGGTTTTGTTTCAAATCCTAAACGCCATGCTTCCTCCGTAGGGGCACTGATGGGGGGCAGTGCTAGCCATGCTAACTATGTAGGGGCAGTGCTAGCCATGCTAACTATGTAGGGGCAGTTCTAGCCATGCTACCTCTGTAGGGGCAGTTCTAGCCATGCTACCTCTGTAGGGGCAGTGCTAGCCATGCTAACTATGTAGGGGCAGTGCTAGCCATGCTACCTCT